ACGTTCCTTTATGGGTCTCTGTGCAGACCTGGCGGCCCAGCCTGAGCAAGGCGGGGTGCTGCTGCAGCTGGCCCTCCCTTGAGCCGCTGCCGTCCTGCAGTGTCTGGAAAGGCTCTGTGCCCCCTGCTCATTCCCAATATCTGAAGCATTGAGGGCTCTTGCTTTTGTGAGAGCTCAAGGTGGTGTCCTTGGCTCTTTCGATAATTGCTAAATAACTGCTTGCCCTGAAAATTGCCCTGGAAGCCTCTCCCCACAGCTGCCTGGCCCCACATCAGAGATCTAGGTTGCTTGGTTACCAGTTTTCAGACCCAATTCAGGAAAGTCCTGAGGCCACAGAAAACTGAGTTTGGCTGCATGTGACCCACAGCCAGTGTCTAAAGACTATCTAACCTTAGCATGATCTGTGAAGGAGAGGAAGCTCTCAGTGAGCACTGTCCTGTCTGGCCCCCAGTGAGGCCTCCACTAGCTCACTTAACCCTTGAAACCTTGGCACGTCAGAGGATTCCCATGTTACAGCTAAGGACACTGCAGATCAAAATGATTAAGGAACAACCCAGGGTCACCAGGTAGTTTATGGTGGGGTTGAGATCCAAATCCAGGTCCCTGACTCCAGGCTTTGGGTTTTGTTTTTTCACTCTCCTTCCTGCTGAGGCATGTTCAAGAAGTTTGCTTAAAGAGCATTTTTAAGAAATTATTACTACAAAGCAATTCTCACTGCCTGAAACGCAAGTCCTACCGTCTCTCGCCCTTGCTGAGACGCTGCTTTGCCCCCTCCCCACACCTCCCCTGCAGGAGCAGCCACTTTCCTTACTGAGGCGCTGGCAGGCTGGCCCTGCACGCCCCTGCCCTGCTCCGCCATGGGCATGTAGCCCGGCCCCCTCCAGGCCGCTCTGCCCTGATGTCCTCCCTGTGCACTTGCACTACTTACTCGCTGCCTAGTGCGCTCCTGCCTGGAGCACCACTCACCGCACTTTAACGCAGGTGCTCGATACACACACATCCGGGAAAACAAAGTTCAATCCAACCTACTTTTTAATTCTATTTTTAATCTTTCTTCCGAAGGATTCAGATGTTCACAGGGGTGTGACAGGAGGTTCCCTGAGCCAGCCGTGTAAAATGAGAGGTCACTCGGGTGCCCGTTGCCACGCTGCCTCAGGCAGCACCACCCCGCTCTGCTTTCCCCCCCAAACTCCCTGTTCCGCCTCCTCCTTTGACATTCTCCGGCTAAATAGATTTTCTTCATATACTTCAACAAGCTGGTGATGAATTTTGGTAGCAGAAATATTTTTCACTTCAAATCAGATTGCAACTTACACTCCCGTCTGGGGACCATGAGTCGGGGGCAGTGGTTCTCAGCCCAGGCTCCCCATTAACATCACCTAGGAAGTTTCTAAAAATATGCAGCACCCAAGGCCACCCCCCAAGACCAATTAAGTCTGGTGAAGGACCTGGGCAGTAGCATATTTCTAAATACTTCCCAGGTGATTTTGTTGGGCAGCTCAGGTTTAGAACTATTGGTCTCGAGCCCTGCTGCTACAAGTGAAGGCCGTAGTCTAGTAACCTAGGCATTACCTAGCAGCTTGCTAGAATGCAGAATCTCAGGCCCCACCCAGACTTGCCAAAACAGAATCTGCATTTTACAGGCGCTCTCCCTCCCAGGAGCATGCCCATGCCCTCTCAGGCGTGCATCTCCTCAACTCTAAGGGTCTCCACGAGACTTGCAACCAGGGGAGCAATGGGCAGTGGCAGCTCGCCCCAGGCTAACTCCCTGAGCCTGTGTCCAAGGCCCCCTTCCACCTGACTTCCCAGTGAGTCAGAGCATCCCAGCCTAGGCTCATTTCTTTCCTATAACATTTCTAGGGAGCCAAAGCAAAGCACCGCCTAGGCTTTCTCCTGTTGCTTCTTCTATCCTAAGCCCTTCCATGTTTCACTGTCCCCAGCTTTAATAAATGTACTCTCAAAAAAAATTTGCATTTTACCAAGATCCTCTGGTGATTTGTAAGCATGTTACAATTTGAGAAACATTGCTTTAAGGAAAGAACAGTTTTTAAATAACTGTATGACAAGTTGCATTCGAATCACCTGAAATCTTATTAAAATGCATATTCTGGTTTAGCAGGTCTGGGGTGAGGCCCAAGATTCAGCATTTTAACAAACTCCTAGTTGATGCTGATGCTGTTGGTATGGGGACCACTGAGCAGCCAGGATGTTGAGTTGCATTTCAATGAGTTCCTTCATCTGAGCCCTGAGAGCAGAGGGTGGATATTTACAGACCTTTTCCTAAGTTTCCTCACCATTACTGTTTCCTGATCCACACCATAAAGGCAGGCCCACAGCTTACTCTCTGACTACCTGGTACTGAGCAGCTCCGGTGGGTGCATCGGGTGCCTTTGACATGGCAGAGGATTGATATGGAAGGTGTACGTTCTGCCGGCCCCACTGTCACCCAGCCCCACTGGGGAAGGCCATGCGCTGGCCTGCCTGTGCCAGGTGATTTCAGGTTCACACTAATGGCAGAACCACCCTCTCTGGCCTTGGCCTCCATCAGGGAACTACTGGAGAACCCTGCTGAAAAGCTATTTAATTCAAAATATGTCTAATATGCGCAGAAAGGAAAAACCCACAGGTCGAAGTTTATAGGAGAAATGGGGGAAAAACTGATGAAGGTCTGCTTTTTTTTTTTTTTTTTTTAAATCCCTTAATCCATTATAGAATTTTAGAGCTGGAAAGGAACTTTAGAGATCTACTCCCAAACCCTCATTTTGGAGAAGAAAGCTGGGACCCAATGAGACTGTGGCTTGTTCAAGGTCACCAAGCAAAATAGGGGTCAGCCCATGGGTGTATTATTTCTTTTTAATGTTGCTTTAGGTTATTTATCTAGAAGTGGATAACATGGAGTAGCTACTTCTTTCATACTGCTCCTTTAATTAAAAGTTCTCCTTTTCACAGAAAAGGTAAAAACCAAGAGGCTGGATCATGGTTCTTGCCCCTCATTGGCCTTCATTAGAAAATTTCTACCAGTTGCTTGTATTACCCAAATAGGGCCTGCCTCCCTGGTGGCAGTGACCCAAATTGCAGGTATGGTGCCTGGGAGGAATTAACTAGCTTCTGGAAGGAAGGCATACCTGATGTCACTTTCCTCTTTCATGCCCATTGCAAGCATTGTAAGCTGATCACAGAACTCTTTCAAGCCACTGCCAATCAATTGGATTTGGATCTCAAGTTGAAAGGCATTTGCCGCCCTACAATAGAGGTCATACCGTGAAAAGCCCAGTGACCTTTAGATCCATACTGCATTTCAGCATGTCTGCATTGGTTAGTAAATACTCTTTAGCTTCTCATTTCCGACCCCTCCAGCAGCTCATTAATCCAATTATGAGTTTCCTTTATCCAACCAAACTTCCTGCCGAGTTGCAAACTCTCCAAGCTACGAGTTTGCCTTCGGTGATTAGACAGCCCAATAGAATATGCTGTCTTGTTCAGACATCTCTGTAATTTGGACTGACCTCACTCTGATAGTGAAACACCCAACATGTGCCCTGTGAGGACACTCCAAGAACCTCCTTCCCGAAAAGGCTCGCAGAGGTTAGTTTCTGCCCTGCGGCTGGAACCCTGCCCCGGTGACTCTCTCCAGCCTCTCCAACAAGGTATTAAGGAGGCTTCCAAGTCATGTTTGGCTCTGAAGTGCCCGGGCCCTTCATTTTGATCTCTGAGTCCTGAACTGGAGCAAGCTGATTTGCTGGCAAGAGCATCTGTTTCCATAACGGGGAGTCAGTCTTCAGATCTTCTCTTCATTAAGACATCAGCCTCATTCAGCCTTGCTCTCGGCTGCCAGATGCACTGACAAACCAGCAGGAAAAGTTCCATCAGGAAGGGGTTTGCTGCCTTCTGAAGGGAGGAAGGTACCACCTTGCCTGCGGGACTGGACCTGCTCAGCCTGTGTGGGCCTTGTGCCAGCGCAGCTGGTTTAAAACTACACTCTGATTCTGATTCTGAGCCTGCGGGCAGAGTCTCAGGGTGGTTGCCATCTGTAGCGTTCTGAGTGCCTCCCTTGCCAGCAAGGAGGGGGTGGAGTCCTCCCAACTCCTTGGCCATTCGCATCTGTCTCCTGGGTATGTGCCACAGGCTCCTGTGGCCACAGGCAGCTTGGCAACACCCTGAGTTATGTTAGCGATATAATAATGAATTATACAATGGATTATACATAATTAATTTATAATAAAACACGCACGCAATGCTTTAATTTCTCCAAGTGAATGATGTGCTGCCCGCCAGGTCCTGCTGGGATACATTCCCTAACTGCCTGCTTGCTGGGCCAGAGGTGGTGGCCAGCTGCCCTAGGGAGGGACCTTGGCCAGGGAAACCTGCCAAGTCAGATTCCCTCCAGGCCACCTCTGGGGTATGTATGACCCACAGAAAGAGAATTCTTCATGCCTCTGATGTTGTTCTAGACCTGGACACCTGTGGGGGTCTCACGCCAGCCCTGGACTGTTTGAAAGCTGTTATTTTCTTCATTCTTCCGATCTTTCTTCCAGAGTATGGGAGATGCCTGTGTATTTATACTCTACCATTCCTCCCTTCCTTCACCCACTCAACAAATATCTAAGGGCCTACTCTGTGTCAAACGCTGTCCTTGCCTTGGTGCACATGAGTGAACAAAACAAAGATCCTTGCCCTAGTGGAGCTTACATTCTAGCAGAGGGAGACAGACAAATAATAAACATGCTGAATAAGTGTGTTATACAGTAGGTTATACAGCGATAGGTGCTACCGAGAAAGAAAAGGCAGAGCAGGTTAAGGGTGACCAGGAGTGATGGGGGCAGGATGCCGTTTTAAAGAAGGAGGTCAGAGCAGGTCTTGTGGGAAAGTGGCAGTCTAGGAGTTGCCAGGCCCTTCCTGGACAGGGGAGAAAGGCACTTCTAGCTCTACCAGGGGTTAGATTTTCCTGGGCTGCTTTGGCTAGGAGATCTTTCAGTAACATTTGTAACTTCTGGTTTCAGATGTTCAGGATGTTTCTGTTCCTGCTGCTGCTGTGGTTTCTGCCCCCCACTGAGGGGTCCCAGCGGGCTGAACCCATGTTCACGGCAGTCACCAACTCGGTTCTGCCCCCCGACTATGACAGCAACCCCACCCAGCTCAACTATGGCGTGGCAGTTACTGATGTGGACCATGATGGGGACTTTGAGATCGTCGTGGCAGGGTAAGTGGCTCCCATCTTGAGTTTGACAGATACATTAGTCAGCTTTTACTGTGATAAGGCTGAGTAACAAATAACTCCAAAGCCCAGCGGCTTGCAACAACACACATCCTCGCTCATAGGTCTTGGCTGGGCTCAGTGGGAATGCTGGTATGCTACTTCGTAGCCTTTTGTTATAGCAACGGGGAGATGGAGGGTAGATCCAAGAAAGGTGCTCAATCCACACACTTCCCAGGGAGAAAATTTGAACACTTTTCTTCAAGGCACTCTTTTCATATCCTTAGTTATGCAGGTGTTATTTCCTCAGCAGTGGGATTCTAGAATCTCTGTAGGAGGGGCTTAAGGGTGACAATTATGATAGAACAGGAGTCTGTCTTTGTACAGCACTTTACATAAGGCTAAGAAAACATTAATTGTCCATTTCAAAGAGGGGAGGAAGATGGGAATTAGGAAGGATAGCTAAACTTCCTCTAAACCATGCCTTGGTCCCACTGCTCCCTTCTCTCCTGAGAAACAACATTGTGTAGCAAGAAAAGCATAGGATTTGGAGTCCAAATAGCTTGAGTTCATGCCCTAAATCTTTCTAGTTGCATGCCCAACTTTCTAGTTGCATGACTTTGATCATTCCCTTATTTGCTGAGATTCAGATATATCATCTGTAAAAATGGGGACTGCAATGCCTTCTTGCCCTGAAGCCTCCCTCAATAGGCTATTTATTGCATGTGACAGTGCATTATAAATTCTGCAAATTGCATTAATAATTATTATGTATTGAGCACTAATATGAGCCAGGCACTGAGCTAAGCCTTTCATCCCCATTTAGGGAAAAGGAGATTCGGGTTCAAAGATGGTGAGTGATGTGCCCTCTGTCAGGTAAATAGTAAGTAGATGAGTCGGGATTTGAACCCCAAGGCTCCCTAACTCAACAGCTGCTACGCTACATTGTACAAAGTTTAGTTATCACTTCAAAAATCATTTAATCAATAAAAACACTACAGGGAGCTGTCAGCCTTCTTCTAAGAGGCCTGAGCTTTTCTGGCAGCACTGACTAAAGTAACTGGCAGGTAACATCATTGTAGCAGTTGCATATAACTGTAGAAAGCATTGACCTTGGAATTGGAAAACCTGGTTTTCATTCTAACCATACCATCCAATAGTTGTGAGCCTTGTGCAAGTTACTTAGCTCTGCAGCCCCCACTTTCCTCATCTGTAAAATGGGCATATTGAAACCCTCCACCTCCCACACAGGGCAGTGGTGAGGATCAGCGGTGATGATGTATAAAAAAGAGACTTTGTAAAGTGTATTTCTTCCTTTATATGTTCCCTTTTTCCTTTATATATTCCACTGTGAAGAGTGGAAGAAACTACATTCTAGACCTCCTGAAAGTCTGGATTATCACGCTATTCAACAGAGCTTTCTGTGATGTAGATGTTCTACGTTGGTGCTATCTAGTACCGTATCCACTAGCTGCATGTGACGATTGAGCACTTGAAATGTGGCTATTGTGACTCAGGAACTCCATTTTTAATTTATTCTCATTTTAATCATACAGCCACATTTACACCAGCACAGTTCTAGGCTCTCAGAAGGAAAAACTAAAGAGCAGAGTGTGATAGAGAAAGGAAAAATAGAAATGGCTGTAATGACCCTTATGGCCTGAGGTGACCTGAGCAGGGTTGAGGCCAAGCGGCTCAGCTGTGTTCAGCTCTGTGACTGTGCAGGCACTCTCTGAATCCGAGAGAAGTGCTCCTGGCCCGATCCTGCGTCCCAGAGCCGTGTGCCACTCTGCCAGTCTCTGGTTAAAGGACTTTGATGCATTCGAGATGTTCTGGTTGGCCCTGCCTCCTGCTAGGTGACACTAGCCTTCCCTTGGTAGAGCCTGGGGCTTGATAGAGGACAGAGAACAGTGGGGCAACCATCCATCCCCTCCTCCTCAGCCCCCCAAGTTACTACTATGAGCATGCCCTCCTTTCTTCTTGGACAATGGGCTTTAAGCACAGGTCTCCATCCTGCCCATCCTTAGGTGAGCACCGATTGCCCCTGCACCTCCTGAGTGTGCAGCTTCTTTCTTTCCAAATGCCAGGCATTCAGTTCACCTTCCTTTTCAATGAAGTCTTTTGCTCTTTCTCTCAAGAAATTGGCTTTTGTGTCCTCCATGGTAGAGAAGCTAGGCCGTCATTTGTAACCAGCCTAGCGTAGGTTTTTAAACTTTGAACAGCTTGCTGCTTACTTGGAGCCATCCTCTGGAAACAAAAACTAAACCACCCTGGGTCTTGATCCTGGAGATCAGAGAAAGACTCTTGTCTCTTCTCCCAGGGCAGGGGTGACCCAGGCAGCGCCTGTCTGAGAAAGCCTGGGCTACTGGATGTTTTTTTTGAAAGATGATGTTGCTCACCCTGGCAAAGAAGAAGAGTTACGTGGAGGACAAGACAGCAAAATTGGGCAGCCTCCCAGCTCCAGGTCAGGCCTTCTTTGTGGCTGTTATGAAGCATTGTGAATTCTCAGGGCATCGGAAAGTCACGTTCTAATTTAAGTACCAAAATACTTTCCAAAGGCAAATATAACTTTTTATTATCTTCAGCTTCGGATGATTTGTCACTGTCTCCCTCTTTGGGCCGGATAACCATGAGTTGACTATACAGATGTATTTAAATCAGGACCTTGGGAGGTCATTTGGTCCACCCCTTCCTTGCCTTCCAACAAGGCCACACCTATAGTTTTTAGAGGCTCCATTTAGGTATTTAGGGCCTTCCATGAGAACGTATGCAATCTTTCTGTCATCCAGCTCAATTACTTATGTCAAGACTCTATTTGACTGATCTGAATCCCTCATAGTAGAGCTTAATAGGCCATTTCTTTTAACTTTAGTTTTGCTATTGCCTTTGAAGATATAAACCAGTGGCCACCATCCTTTCAAACAGTGGCAGCTATGATGACTGCCCTGCCTTTCATTCCCTGTGGACTCCTTGGCAGCATTCCTGACTTAGACTTTTATTCTGTTTCATCTACCTTCCACCAATATTTAACTCTGTTTCTTCTCAGTTTGATTATAGACTCTCTGTTTAAGAATCACGTAGCAGGAGTTGAAATTTTGAAAAATTGAATGTGAATGCTTTTACCTGGCGCACCTGTGGTCGGCATCGATAGAGGCCCACTCTCTATTATCTTATAGACCTTTCCATTAGCTGGCCCCAGCAGGCATTTACGTTTTCCTCCTGGGATAATGTCCAGCTCTTCAGTTTATAAGGTGCCCACACTTGAACTTGTCTTGGATTTGTTGACCTTGTAGTGTGTCTGATTCCAGCCCTGTTGCTCTGAGTATTTACTCTTTGAATAGGTTTGTTTTGTTTTGCTTTTTCGGTATCCTCAGCTCTGGGTATTGATGGCATTGATTTTGAGCTTGTTGTGGGTGAGTTTGTATTGTGTTTCGGATTCTTGAGTTAATTGTGATGGAAGGCGTGTGCATACGTCTGACTCTGGGAGGAGCAGAAAATGACCGCCCTTTGTTCTGCAGGGATGGGGGAGGGAATAGGTCAGCTCTGCTCCTCCAGCGCCACAGCTGGGCGAGTGTCACCGCCTGTGGAGGGCTTATCTGTTGACTGGCGGGTGCGTGATTGCAGTCTGTTTACGGTCTGCTTCCTGCAGGGCGAGGGGAGGGTTTGATCACCCCCAGGGAAGTGTGTCCACGCTCAGAGCATTGAGGATCTTCAGGACTGGCTCCCTGGGCAAACAGAAAGCCCAGTGGCTTCCCCTTTTCTCAGAGGAACTAAGCACCCAATCTGCAGTCTCACGTAGTCTGGAAAGGAGTTCCCGTGGGTGTCAATCTTGCACAATTCCTTTAGAGCAGCTTTTGTGTCCTGGGATATCCCCAGAGGTCTGAGATAACCCCCTACCCTGTCAGTTTCCAACAGGAGTTTTGCTCAAATGGAAAGATTGTAGTGGTTGTAAAATTTAAATCACAATTCAGATCAGTTTTTTTAAAACACAAAGAGCATTCATTTGATAAAATCTTAATGCGTTCTTCACACTTGGAAGGATTTCATTTAAGGGGATGCTACCTATCGTAAAGTCGTGTCTCATTTTTTTCTTAATTTTGCAACTATGTCAGAAAACTTTTTTAATTTACTGAAGTTAATTGAATTATTTAAAAGGCAAACTGTATTCAATTACCAGATTAATCATAATTACATAGGAGATATTTTGCCATTATAAATAATAAAAACAATGATAAAGAATAAGATATTTGCCAGTGATTTCACCGAAGCAACATTTTATTATAAGTATATATAGATACATGAAACAGATATATAGATATAATATATATAGTATGTATAGATATAGTAGATACATGTAACATCCCTATAAATATATTTAGATATATGTAGTATATCTAAATATATATACACATATACACACACTTTTAACAAAATAAGAGAAATAGTTTTGAACTTCCAGCCCTATCTGCTCCTTTGTGAAATATAACATTTTAATAGATTTGATCATCAGTTTCTGTATCTTAAGATGTTATATTACTTCATTCAATTTCTTTCTGTTCTAATTTAACATACATTTTACATTTTGATAACTTTTAAATTTATTTTATTACAAAAAAATTTACAGTATAGATAAAAGTAAAAATCTGCCTTTACCAACCCTGACCCCTACTCCAAGCCCATCCCGGTCCTCTTCTAGAATAACAACTGTTTTCAGTTTGGTGTTTATACTTCTAGAAATTTCTATGAAACATATATATTTACAAAATACATAATAATTTTTGGAGGAATTAAACTGATACATATTGTTCCAAACTTGCTTTTTTCACTGTATATAATGTGTTCATGGTTCAAACATATAGATCTAGCTTATTTTTTTAAGTTGCATTGTGTGAATGTACCACATTTGTATTGCTGCTCCTCAAGTGACATATAAGCTGTCTCTAATCTGTGACCACTGCAAACATGCTGTATATTCATCCTTACACACATATGCAAATATTTCTCTG